ACCCTCGCCTGCGCGCGCGCGAGCACTCTCTAAGCCGCGGCAGCCGCCGCACTCGCCGCCGCCCGAGCCTCGCCCCGCCTCGTGCCGCCGCAGCCAATCACCCGCCGGGACGTCATGGGCGTAGTTTATTATTCAAAAGAGTTCTTACAGGAACTTCCTCATTGGGCCTCTGCCAAAGAGAGGTAGAGGCGTCAGCCAATAGAGAGGAGTTGCTGATGACGTAGATGGTTTAGAAGGTTGGGCGGGTGTGTGTGTGTGGGGGGGAAGGGTGTGGCCGCGTCCGGATAGCTCTTGGACGCGTCACCCCGCGGAATCCTCTTCCCTCCGTCTGATCGCCAGGGCCTCACCTCTGGCCAGGTGGCATCAGCTTCCGGGCAAATCTTAGCTCTCAATGGAGGACCTTCCTCGGGAACCTGTCCGGTCTCCTGGAACGTTTGCTCTTTCCAAGTTTTCTGCACATCGATACTGGGGTACAGATTCAGAAAGTGGACCGGCAGTTTCCTTCTTCCTCCAGCAGGTTATTTATGATCCCGCATTTCGCTGGGATTTACAAAAGCACATGCACACGCCGTTACTATGGAAAACAGTGTGTGAGTCCTCTGAAAATTAGAGAGGGAGGGAGGGAGGGAGAGAGGGAGCAATTTCACTTCTGGATATATAGTCAGAAGAGTGGGTGGAAGATAGTGTCTTGGAAAGGTATGTGCACAACCATAGGTCCAGAGCTATTTACAAGAGCCAAGAGGTAGAAGTAACTCAAGTGGCCATCAGTAGGTGAGTGGATAAACAAATATGATTATGAAATCCACCCTGAGTGAATCTACCCTCATTTGTTTTTTCCTGGTACTGGTTATTAGGGCTTGAACTCAAGCCTGCATGCTGCCCCTAAGGTTTTTGCTCAAGGCTAGCACTGTGCCACTTGGGCCACAGCTCCACTTCTGGCTTTGGGGTAGTTAATTGGAAACGAGTTTCAGCCAGGCGCCTGTGGCTCATGCCTATAATCCTAGCTACTCAGGAGGCTGAGATCTGAGGCTCTGCATGAACACAGGAGACATCCACATGGGATGCAAGGAAGCTCTTTGGGGGTTCGTCTCTCATTGATTTTGGTCTACAGTGACTAGCATGTGGCGATTATTTGCAAGCTGAGGTAGTTAACAAGTCCAGTGAAGGGGAGGATCTTGGGAATGATCAAGTACCTTAATTAAGGCCTGTGAAGGGTTAGTAGCATTTGTCTCCTGGCATCTGAAAATTAGCAGACATTCGTGGCCTATGGGAGAAGTGTTTTGCTGGGGAGGGAGAGCCCACACACATGATGTGACATGCGACAGGTGTTTGGTTGCTCTCTTGTTAATTAGGCTTATATGCAGAGGACTAAGCTGAGCTGAAGCCTCTGTAACCTCTGCACTACTGCATGTAATCATGGCTGTCAGAGCAAAGACCCGGTTGTTGTTTTGGTAGCTAATTGTGCAATTCATTGAGTATGCATTACAGTCTTTCCAGGGGCTGGGAAGGTGGCTCAGTGGCAGAGTGCTTGCCTTGCATGCATGAGGCCCTGGGTTCGATTCCTCAGCACTACAGAAGCAGAAAAAGCTGGAAGTGGCCCTGTGGCTCAAGTGGTAGAGCACTAGCCTTGAGCTGAAGAGCTGAGGGACAGTGCCCAGGCCCAGAGTTCAAATCCCCACAACTGACCAAAAATAAATAAAATAAAAATAAATAAAATCTTTCCACATTTTCCCCAACCAAAAATCTAAGTTCCACGGAAGAAGAGATTTGTCCAGCCTGCTGTGCAGGAGGCAGTGTTCCTTGAATGCCAGCTGCCTTTCCTTCCTCATAGCCTTTAGCTCGAAGCAGCCTGTGCAGACTAGGTTCAACTCCCCTAGTTGGTGGCCTGGCTTCCTAAGAGCAGAGGCGGCCCCACCACAAGGGGGAGCACCCAGCAGGAGGACACTAAGCCAGCTGAGGCAGGAGGGCAGAAGCAGCCCCCTCCTGCTCCAGCCCCAGTGAACAGCGGGCAGGAGGGGGCAGCGGATGACAGGGGCCAGAGCAGAGACCAGGACGGGAGTCACAATCACGAGCATCTTCCAACAGGCCACGAAAGCAGTCAAATCAACGTTTACCACATGGCTGTTTTATTTGGTGCTCAAGTGACACAGTGTCTTTATCAACTTCGTTTTTGTGTTCTGATGGGGCCAAGGCCTGGCCGCCTTCACCTGACAACTGTCCTTCCAGACAGGCTCCGTTCCAGTGTGGCTGCTCTCTGTGTAGCAAAGATGTACACAGGCACCCACTTTTGCTCAACTTTGGGTGCCTGGGCTAGTCATCTCCCAGCAACCAAAGGACTGTGTAGGGAGCAGGCATCTCAGGACTGCGAGGGCTGTGCCTTCAGGGCTTGCGGGGCTCCCTCTGGGCCCTGATTTTCTGCTCTCTCCTTTCACCTCTTCGGACGCAGGGCTCTCCCAGCTACTGTCAGGGATCTGAGAATCGCTAAGGAGGAGTTCCTTCTCAAGGGCTGGCCCTGACAAGTCCTTCCTTTGTAGCTTCATTCCAAGTCATGTTACCAGAGCTGAGCTGTGGCGTTGATTGATAAATAAGAGGAATCATATTTAGAAATAAATAACTCCAAGCCAGGCGCCGGTGGCTCACGCCTGTCATCCTAGCTACTCAGGAGGCTGAGATCTGAGGATCGAGGTTCAAAGCCAGCCCAGGCAGGAAAGTCCGTGAGACTCTTATCTCCAATAAACCACCAGAAAACCAGAAATGGTGCGGTGGCTCAAGTGATAGAGTACTAGCCTTAAACTGAAGAGC